TTACATCTTTTTCGATTTCACGCTCACCTCCCAGCGACTTACCATTAGCATACCAATACGAGCGAGTCGATTGTTTCGGCACGAAGCGATATAGCCTGTACCAGTAAAAATATTCACGATTCACCGCCAATGCCAAGTGCGCCTGAGAACGGTGCTCGGGTCATTCGATACACCTTGTCCTGACTGATTATAATGTCTCCAAATGTATATATATATATATATATATATATATATAAAGTGCCTTCCTTGTAGACGGTGCACCCGTCGTCACGTAGATGGGTGGACAATTGATGGGACGCCTTTGCGATCACGTGACGTCACGCAGTCCTCGAATACAAAGTTAATTAAACAATGTATGGACTCGGAAAATTAGGGATGAGAGGAGGAGCAATAGTTGAATAGCGGTACGCAAAAGTGTCCTAACAGGAATGGAGAAATTTCATCATTTAGGCTCGTTCGTAATTACGCAACGACGACTTTCTAAATAGAACATTTCGTAATAACAACATTCTCCGAACGATAATCCAACGCTTTCACTTACTTCCACGCCGTAAAAGCCGGAATTTAATTATGACCTCGGCAAGCAGTCCATACACCATAGTCCAATAATCGAAAGTTAAAGTTAAATCGAAATTTGGAGACTTTTATCACTTGCTGATCAATTAGCACAATTATTGTAAGAGGTAAATATTTTGCGCGCAATGATATAATTTGCAAATGAATCCTTGAGCGACATTTGACGAGCCGTTAATTTCAAACGAGGGCATATTCTCATAAATCAAACTTCCTTGTACGATAGAATGATGTCTCGATGAGACTTCGTGGTTGGTCTGAGCAAGTGAAAAAAAAACAAACATTATTTACACGACAATTCAAATTTTGTGGATCTTCATCGTCAATCTAATAACGCCCCTAGTATTACTATTCAACACTAACATATATGGATAGGCATTGACCTTTACTCCCTTAAAATATAGAATAAAGATAGAGCGAGAGAATAAATCTTTCGAGGATTTCGAGAAGCTTGCTAATGGATGTCGTATGCGTTATTATTGTTGTAAGATCGACATGTTATGTCACGCGACCAAAATCCATACGCATCGTTCCAATATTTTAAGATAATAAGGTCAGATGGACGTAATTTTACATTAATCTTATTGCGATTAACCTTGGTAGACAGAGAAAATATTGACGAAGAATAGTGACGACAACGACGAGGACAACAACAACAACAACAACAACGACAACAAGGACAACAACAGGAATAGGAACAACAATAACTAATGTCCGTTATTATGGGTCTCGATAAGATTGGACATAGCCATAACAAAATATCTTTTCAAATTCACATCATTTTGACCTTGATTTTAATTGACGTTGAGATTATAAATTAATTTACGCGAGAAATTTAACGCGCACTACCTGATTGAGCGAGAAACGATAATTGAGTGTCCAGCACCGATCGAACTCGGCTGCCTTTGCTATTTATATATTTATTGCAATTGAGGGAAAATTGCTTAATGTCAACAGTACCGAGGCGCACAGCATCTTGTAAATGCGAGAAGAAACCTCGCGCCATTCGTCGTTAAGCTCACGCAATTGACATTAAGAGGATTCACCGAGTGGGCGCGCGAGTTCCCATCTTCTCAGTCGCTCCCACGTAAGCCTCGCTCGACATTTACTTAGCTAACGGAGCTCGGTTGCCTCTCTCTCTCTCTCTCTCTCTCTCTCTCTCTCTCTCAAAGCGCTGCCGAATTAAAGCGACCCAATTACTTTATCGAAGCTCGTACATCCGCGCGGCATTCGCTTCGTCGTCACCGAGCCGAGCAAAATCGACGATAGCCAATGGCCTGTCCTCCCCCTCCCCCGGCACGAATAAACCATCTCCAGGGAGATGGGCATCGATTATCATCGACTCGGTCGGTCTGATAAGCTCGGCCGACGTCGGCTTGATAACGGCAATAATTACGGATGATGATCTTCGTGGTGTCTCGCTGCCATTCTCCTTAATAACGGGAAAGAAGTCGTGGTGATGCTGAAAGGCGGCCCCGGCGGATAGGACGCCCGCGGCATTGCTGCCCCGTAGCCAGAGACTCGAGGAGCGTCGGAGGGCCGACGGTGAGGGCGTCAGCCGGGGTATGCGAGAGTCGAGTGGCGAGGAGTGGCCGTTGTTCCTGGAGACGGGCATCGCCGGCAGACTATGGGGCCCGAATTCACCGCCGTGGCGCGCCATCCGACCTCAACGTTCCAACTGCATCGTGATCACAAGCTTCCGACCCACCCTCTTTCTCCTTATTCTTCCAATGAGGTTCGGCGTGAGGAGATCTGCAATCGAAGAGAAAGATGGCCAGTGAGTTATGGTTTTTCCGCCGGAAATTACCGGCGTGAGGCGAGACTGGTGGCGGGGTACCAGTCGCCCCTATCGCTGCTCGCCTACGTACATGGCTTTTCTATTTTGGGTTTGTAAAGAGATGAGTCGCGATGGCGTTGTGAATGGCAACCTGGAAACTACCGTAGGGGAGAATTTTTTCGTGAACTTTCAAAATTGATTTGAAATAGGATGTCAGGGTGGGCGTGCGATTTAGGAATCGAACGTTGGTTATCGAGTAGACGGAGGGAAAGGAGGGGATCGAGGCATTGTTTGGCACTCCCCTCGTCGTTAAATTCTAAAATTAGATCTACATTCGCAGAATTAGCATAGAATAATAATAATCGTTTGGTGTGAGGCATGCTTCGATAATTTGCGTGGATATATATATATTTTTTTTTTAAAGCGCGAGTAAATTGGTATAACTACGTGTTGCGACAGCAACAGGTGAAAACATTTTCCTTCTCTCACAATAAAATACTCATAAATGTCCAGAGATACTTTTAAAAGGTTGAAAAACAGCTGTTGTTGTTGTTTTTTTTTATTTTTGTTTTTTGTTTTTTGTTTTTTTCGTAGGTAACATAGCATCTATAATTACTCGATTGTATATTCGAATTGTGCACGAAATGAGAAGAAAATGACTGCGGCGGCATTGACGAGATGACTGCGAGTTAATTTTGTCTATTTTTCCAACATTGTTTCGCTTTTCGCATTCTGACTCGTTCACATTCTTCTCCATGAGTATATCAACAAAATTCTTTGATACTAAATATGCTTCGGACTTGTCGTTTTCTCGATTTAAATTGAAAATATTCTTTCAATTTTTCGACAAACTAATAATATTCATTGAACCCGAGGTATCGCCAAAATTGGCCCCATCGTACCGCATTCTTATGCCTTACGCTATGCCAACTAATAATCAAGCAGCGCGTATTGTAAAGCGATCAATCGACAATCGTGATCGTTACTTCATAATTACTCGAATGTGTACCCAGATGTAGGTGCCTGATAATGAAATGAAAACTTTTTCCGTCCAAGCCGCTAAAATTCGAGCTAATTTGCGCGAAAAACAGCGGCGCGCGATGAAAATATTGTACAAAAGTTAGCCGCGACGAGTCGTTGTTAGCCTTCGGATTACTTAATAATTAAAATAAATATATGTATTAGAGCATTGGCAGAACAAGAAATCTGCGGATAAAATAATTAAGATTCTTATAAGCAAGTAGTAATAAAGTTCGTTTCATCGACGGTAATGCAGGAATAATCGTAAAATCTTTAAAACGATAAGCGTCGGTACATTTATCAAATAAACAGGAACGGTTAATTGCAGACATCGTCGATTAACAAGCATGAAATGGCTTTAGATTATTTAGGAAAATTCGTATTTTCTAATCTTGATGAAATTCACGCAAACGATTCGACGATTTAAAACGCTTAAAAAGGGATGATAGGATAAAAGATGAACGGTAGTTATAAAATTCGCACATGTCATTGAAAAGTAAATCAACATTGATTCGATAATAATGCAGACGATAGCATAAGATATCTCAATTTAATGCATCATCGTTATTAATTAGATATAATAAATATTTAATTGGATAATTACATAAATAAATATTCATGATAGGATGACATGATTTTTCGTTAAGAAATCTCTACGAAGATTCAAATTACCATAGCTCAAAGAACGTTAAATTTATACATTTTATTAACATTTTTATTACTCATTAAATTTGCACAATATTTTACCTAATTGTGCAAAAGTGCTTATAATTATTTATGCAGCAAAAAAATGTAAAATATTTACTACACCGGTTATCAACGGTCAGGCAAAATATATCAATCCTTATCCCATTGTTTACCCTCACATTAACTTTAACTTTTTTTCGAAAACCATAGCTCTGGTCTTTCCACAGTGATTGTTTATTATTTTTGCAATTGTAAATATTCACGTTTCAATTAATTCATCGATACCGCCTCTCACAAAAACTACGGCTGATTTGACATTTAATAGCCATGAAAAAAAAAGATTTTTTATTTTTCTTAGGATTACTTGATTTAGAAACAGGAGAAAAGGAAAACGAGATGCGTAATAGCATAAAGATAAATTGTAAATAAGGCGTACGTTTATCGTGTGAAAAAATCACAAAATCATAAAATCATAAAATCGTAAAATATTAGTTGTTCGGTTTACTGTGAACAAACCGATTTGTTTAATTAAATCAATATGAAAGTCGATCGATATGTAATTGCTATTTAATTCAGACTTTGCGATTATTCATAATTCATAATGAAAAATAATTGTCTTTTTATTAAAGCGTACGAATTGCTTTCTATTTATGTAACTATGGCTACACACGCATGCACGTTGACGCTATTTGAGTCCGAGACTCGTCAAATCGAGCCCATGAGAAATTTCGATCTTTGCCATATTATTATGATTCTTAACGACTGCAATACGACATTTTACTTTTGTTTTTGTTTTTCGCTTGTTTCTTTTTCTTATCTCGTTATCATTATTTGTGACATATTATTATATGTAGACGAGAATTACAACGAAAAATTACGCTTTAATATTATTTTTAGAAAATTATTATTTTGCAAAAATTATTATCGCTATTTCGATATTAAATTGATAATTTACTTATATTATACGGTAATTTGATTAATTAACAGCGGGATACTGTTGAACATTACGGCATCATGCCTAACACATATATAACGTATATATGCAGAAAAAAAAAGAAATACAAAAACTTTACAGATTTGTAATAAATAGACTTTTTACTTTACGTTAAACTAATATAGGTAAGCAAACGAGAAAAAGAAAAACAAAAATTTCAATTAATTAGATATGTAACGGTTATGTAATTTCTATTCGACGGTGAATAATTGATGATAAACAGTTAATACGTTTCAACGTTATATATATTAAATATATCGATTTTGTTTCATCATAGTTCAACTACTTTTAAAATTTTTAATTCTAACCTATATTATATAATTTGGGTATGTGATATTTACTATCCTAGAATACTAATATTACTAATAGATTGATGGAGGGGCGGGCGGGCGGGCGGGGGGGGGGGTATCGCCATCAATTATCAATTTCATTTATTCTTGGTACCAATGAGAAACGGTTAAAAGAAGAACAACAAAAAAAAAAAAAAAAAAAAAAAAAAAAAAAAAAAAAAAAGCAGAAAAGTTCCTTACAAGTATCCATTTATAGGCGCGTAAATAAATTAAAAATGAAAAACTTGAAGTAGCAATCAAGTGCAGGAGTATTAATGCGGTACGGGTTGTGCTTAAGATTATCAAACTACTGAAAATTTACGTTGTTTACGCTTCGTTGGCCGGCTAAACAACAACGCGCATTTCCTTTTATTATGTTCCTACGTAATGTAATTTGTATAAAATTATCGTAGAAAAAAGATGAGAAAGGATGTACGATGTACGATGGCATGTGCAGTCGGAAAAGTAAGCAACGTTAGAAAATCCAATAACGATTAATGGCAATGAAGGCAAAGCAAATATATATTAATTACATTCTCTGTTTTAGAAAAATCTTTTTTCCGTTTATTTTGTATTAGGTTCAAGTTTTTACGGCAAAGGATAAATCCAATAATGTCTAGCAAAGTACTTTCGCAATATCTGTAAAAATACTTATAATGAAAGATAATGGGCGAGAGACTTGGCCCGCGAAAAGCTGAGGTTAAAATTAACGGAATTTAGAAAAAGTATTTAAATAGAACGTGACTGGTTTCCTTTGATTTTCACACTGTTTGGTCATTTTGATTATTTGAAGCGATCGCGAGAATAAAGCAATTGCAAATTAAACGTTTTTTTTATTTGAAGAAGCGCACTTTATTATTATTGATCACACGTTCTGCAAGTCTGTATTTTTTTTTTTTTTTTTTTTAATTAAATTACTATGCTTAGCGCACTGTCGTTGAATTTGGCAAGGCACGTAGGGTAAAATTTTTATTGACAGAAAATTTAATTTAGATCATAAAACGTCGTCATTTCAACAATAAAAGTAGTGTCAAACCATTGGCTACAGCCACTCGTTATATTTAATTATAACGCAATCGCTACGAGTATAAACACATCATTTTAGATATTTATCTGCATTATTATTAATATTCGTGCGCTACGACCAAAGTTATAACTTTCCAAGCAGATTGGCCAAATAGATATAACGATAATGCCTTTATTATTGTTGTTGTTGTTGTCGTTGTTTTTTGTGTCTTTTGTTTTTTGCAAATATTAATAATGTGGTGAGGAAAAATGAAATTATTCGGCGAATATTCAGACGAAGAGAAGACAATTACATTGAAACTTTTGGGTATATAACGAACGAAAGTAAACATTCCTTTTCTACCATATTGTGCTCGTTTATTTACTCGTTTTAATCCAAAGTTGCTAAGACTCGTAACATTCCAATTATATCTTACGATGTGAAGAAGAGCCGGAAAATTTTCACTCTACTTTCGTTAAAATGCAATTCAATGCAATTAAACATTGACGAGTATATTGACGATAAAAGCACTATAAGCTCGTGCGTACGTAGGTAGGAATCGGCTTAGGGAGTAAGTTTTCACATTACATTGTCGAACGATTCGCCATTATTTTATCCTAACCACCGTAAAACTTCATCCTTATCTTTGTTACTTCATCTTAATCAACATATTGATGCGCATGTGCTCTGCCTGCATAATAAAACAGTTGATTAATCGAGCTTTATTAATATAAATAGCGTGTAATGCATGGCTCTGCCATTCGAACGTAAAGTTAAATGTGTTTGATAACAAATATTAATGAACGAACCATCGCTCTCTCGTCTGTATTACGGTCCAAGAAAATTGTATCCAACGTTCGTAGTACCGAGGTAGTGAAAAATTCGTAGCCTCCGACGATCGAGAAACATTATGGTATCTTACCTTAAACGCGTGGAAATGTCAAACGGCCGATCGACACGAACATCTGCCAACAAACTCGAGGGCCTCACGTCGAAATACCTCGCCTACTTATTCTTTTTCATCATTATTCATCGCTTTCCGTCTCTTTTTATTAAATAAACGTCCGAAGTGCCACGGTATTATGTATCAGTGAGTGTAAACAGCCGCCTGCGAGGAGCATAAAGAAGCTGTTTGCGCTATGGTAGCAGTAGCGGGAGCTACTCGTCTTTGTCGGGGCGACGACGACGATCTAAAGATTTGCCATTGAACGCGAGGGCCCCGAGGAAAATTGTTGACAAGTTATTGCAACTACATTACCGAGTTAAACAAACAATGTAATATGCGAAAGTTGGGCTCGCAAACGATACGAGGTTCCGTGGATTGTGTCCCCGCTCGTTATATCGATTGTCGAGCAAAGTCTTATTACCTCGTCGTTGCAGCTAGCAGCTAAACAAGCGCGGGCGGAGCGGCAGCGTGAGCAGGAGCGATAGCCAAGTACCACAATTGACAGAAGCCGTATGCCACGCACACCCGCAGTCGCACTTGCCAGATATTTACGAGATAGGATTTTGAGGCCGATAAAAAGGCCTTGGTCATGCTGGCAAATAATCGACCGACGGCTCGACG